TGATTTTCCTTTCAACCAGGTTGACTCCTCTGATCAAGGCAGGCAGGCAGTTCCTTACCTGATTCTCAAAGATTACTCCCACGTCCCTCAGGTTTTCTGCACATTCCAGAGATCCCTCCTTGGTCTGGCCTCTGCATGTCTTACCCTGGTCTTTGCAAAGCCCTCCTAGGAAAAGAAGGTTCCTTTCTACCTAGTCATAAGGATTCTTTTCCTGGATCCAGACCTGTCCTAAGGAGTTTAATGGGAGAAATCGACAGATAGGCAAAAATAATTGGAATACAATGTGTTAAGTATGGTTAAAGAGATACCTCAATGGTATCACAAGATTGTACCAATCAGGAAAGGAAATAGATGCCATACTCAAAAGGAGTGATTAGAGAGAGTTTAATAAAGGATTTATTTACAAAGTTATAGGCAGAGGTAGGAATAATTAAGCAACAACTTTGGGAAATTGCTCCCATCCCTAGGCCTGAAGAGGCAAAGAAAAGGAGCTATTACCAAAATCCAGAAAGAAAGCTCTAGCTATAAGGGAGGTCTACCCAACAGGAACTCTTTCAGTAGATTAATGTAGCTCCTGCCAATCCAAGGTCTAGGAGGGAGTGAGTTAGGGAAATATTACTGCAATCTCGCTCTTTTCTGCCCCTTGAGCTTCTTCCAGGGCTTCTCACTGTTCAAATCCACCAGAAAGTCAGAGGATAAGAAAATCAGGCTAATGTTGTCCAAAGAGGTCAGCCTCCAAGGGCACAGGGTAGGTAGAGAATGGTGGAGAGGTAGTCTAGAGAGGCAAAGAAAGAATAGCCCAGCACGAAGAGTAGAGGTACTAATTCTTCCGGAGGACTTCAAAGGTGACATTTTAAAGGAAGTAATATTTGAGCTATGACCTGAACAATAAGTAGAGGTTTACCAAGTAGGAAAGGGAATAATGACATTAAAGGCAAAGAGATAGCATATACAATAGCTCATAGATATATAAGGAGCATGCATGGTATATTTAGACAAGCAATCCCACTTCTCAGAAGCACATAATTCTTGTGGAGAGATGGACCTGAAAAGAAAATTTAGGACCAGATTATAAAGGTTCTTAAATGCCATGCTAAGATGATTTTTGGACTCAGTCCTGTAGTTAATGAGGATCCATTCAAAGACTTTCAGAGAGAGAGTGGCATCAGCATATTTAAGTTAGAAAAAGGTAACTTTAATGGCAGTATAGAGGATGGACTATAATATTGAGAGACCAGAAGCAGGAAGATGATTTTGAAGGACTTTGCAATAGTCCAGGCAAGATAAAGGTGAGTGGTACTAAAGCAGCGGCAGTGATGATGAAGCAAAAATTCTAAGCCTATTCTGAAGATAAAATTAACAGAACTAGAGAATCTAATAACTATGAGGAATGCCAGCAAAGATAGGCTCTAGATGAGAATCCAATTTCTAGTCTGAAAAACTTGGTGGACAGTGGTACTATTAATAATGGGAGAGAATTCAAGGAGACTAGGTTTGTAGGAGATGACACAGAGTTCTGCTTTACACATACTGAGTTTGTTGTGCCTGTGGAGAGCTAACGGGGAAATGTCGAGGCGGCAATGGCTAATGGACGGCCAGGACTCTGGAAAGAGACTGAGGAGGCAGATATACAGTTTGGGGAACAATTTATTTTTTGTAGCCTATGTAAAATATAGCCACCAGATTTTTCTCAACCTCTGTAACTAACAAAGGAAAAAAATGTGATTCATCATATAACAAAATAAACCACAATGAGAGTCAAATAATCCACTGCTAGTGCTCCTTGCCATGGAAGGGTTTTCATTTGCTTGTTGGTAAAAGAAACTCATAACTCAGAATTGCATGTTTAGGAGTGTTCTTTAAAAAACAAACAAACAAACAACACTCAGTTTTTAAAACTGAGTGCTATTTGCTCCTTAAATTTAAGCTCATTTATTTTGTAAATAACCTGCAAAAAACTCCCATAGCAGCTTTATTTTATTGTATAAACTCATATCTCAGTGACATGCAATTGTTCTTCAGCTGAGGCATTCCATAATTCTGTGTCCACAAAAGTGCTTTCCCTCATAGTAGATACTTAATAAATATTTACTGGATGAATGGAAGGTAGACAGATGGATAAATGAAAGCAATAGATTATATTAAAGTAATGTTGATTTTGTTAGGAGTTTGATATACATATATAAGTGTGTAAAAAACATAATTATGGGAGAATTAGAAACTGTCTGGTTTTGCTTCATCAGTGGAAGAAAGCCAGAATTAGACAACTGCCAGTTTCTCCTCTGCGTCCAGCTGCCGCAACCACCTTATTTAAGATGAACTGAAATACTTTTCTTCTGGTTCCTTGCTACGTGAAGTGATCATAGGTAGCAGGATCTCACGACCTTACTTCTTTTTTTTTTTCTTTTTTTTTAGTGAGTAAGAATGGCCCTGAGCTAACATCTATTGCCAATCTTCTTTTTGTTGAGAAAGATTGGCTCTGAGCTAACCACTGTGCCCATCTTCCTCTATGTTGTATGTGGGGCACCGCCACAGCATGGCTTGATAAGCAGTGTGTTGGTCTGTGCACAGGATTCGAATCTGTGAACCCTGGGCCACGGAAGCAGAGTGTGCAAACTTAACCACTATGCAACCCCGCCAGCCCCATTTTTCATTTTTTTTTTTTTTAATTTTTTTGAGGAAGAAGATTTGCCCTGAGCTAACATCTGTGTCAATCTTCCCCTATTTTGTATGTGGGTCACTGCCACCACGACATGGTGGCCAACGAGTGATGTAGGTCCGTGCCAGGGAACCAAACCCAGGCCGCTGAAGTGGAGTGAACCGAACTTTACCACTAGGCCATGGGGTACTCCTTTTGTATAGTTCCCAGCATAATCATTTTGAAATCTTAGACACATGGTTCTAATTATCTGAAGCCAATGGAAATCTGCTATTAATAGTACATAATGAAGCACATAAAACCAATTGATTTTTGACTCCTAAACTTTACACATGATCAATATGTGACTTAGTATACCTATTAAAAATTGTAAAATTATTGACTTGACTCTATTTTGTTAAAATCCTCCTTTCAAAATTTTATTGAAAATAATTTTAGAAAAAATGTTCTGCTTTGGTGGTTGTCCTTGTGAAATTTGGAATGAGCATTAATACACTACATAACCACATCCCTTCCCTACCTCAATCTTAATGTAGTTTCTTTGTCTTCAATGGGCACTATCAACACTACACCTTTTATCACTCTCCTGCCTAGCCCATGCGACAAGTGGAAATATTTCTTTCCAATTGCTGCCTCTGTAAAGAATGAAGTGTAGATACATGCAGTCTAAAGAGAACTGGACCTCGAGTTAAATCATGGCATGGCCGAGGTACCCACAAATCATACGATCTCTGGGTAAACAGAGCCTACCTCTAAATGACTGAGTTAAAAGTAACAGGAAGATACAGGAGTACTGAAGATGCTTGACAAACTTAACCTTTCATTACATATTTAAAATACATATATTTTATTTATGTCTCTCTCCTAAAGGGTACAGTCCATGGCCTTCTCATCTATGTATTTTTCTCAGCACCTAGCACAATATCAGTTGCCAGTAGAATGAATTAAGAAATTGTCCCATACGTAATTTTTCCTTCTCTGTAATTTTTTGTATTATTCAATTTTTCTGTAATGAATAAAACTGCTTATATAAAAGTAATTAAAAGTCCAATATTTTATTTGTGTTTTTAATGTGTATATTTTTATACAGATCTAGGATATTGTACATAATATATATATAATCACACATAATTGAAAGAAAGTAAGGAAATAATTTAAAACTGTGACTTGTGAATCAATACATAATACAATTTCAACTTTTTATGATAATTTGTTAGTTACAATACAGAATATTTAAATACTGAATATGAATTTGCATTATTCCAAAAGATGTTTAGCAAAACTGAAATGAATGTTTTGCTTGTTTTCTTACGACACAACTGGGTGAAAAGCAGAACTGCAAAGAAGTTTCATAATAAAACTCCAAACCACATTAAACTTGTCTTTTGTCAGGTTTTGTTACATCCCCCCTAACTCAACCCAGATTCCCTGAGGTTGGCAAACAGGGCAAAGTTTAAGTCAAAACCACGCCCTTCCTTTGAGCTTTAGGGATGCCCTTAGAATTCTGGGAGAAACCAAAAGAAACTGCAGTTTTTTCCTGCAGATGAGGCAAGTCTGTCGCTTTCAGTGTTTATAATTTCCAACTCAGCCCAACAAACAAAGACAGTTGCCTGGGAGGGGAAGGAGGAGAAGGGCAGAGGAATCCTAAAGTTCTGTTCCACTCAGAACAAGGTGTTGATGTGCTAAGATTCCCTAGGAGAGGGAACAAGTTAGGAAGAAGGCAGGTCATGGAGGGAGGAAGGGCAGGGAGAGAGAGAGGGAGGAACCAAGGAGGAGAGTGTGTCATAACCAAAGATTAGGATTAATCCAAATCTGTGCTCCTGAGATCCAAGAAAAAAAAATTCACACCTGACCTAATCATGTTCATTTGTCTGGACGCTGGTTCCATGTCGATGCAGATTCTATTCATAGATGATCATTTAAAGGGCAATTTAAGGCACAGAGTTTTACTCTGAGGAAAAACTCCAACGTTGGAGAATTTGTTTGGTTGCCCTGCTTCTATCATTTATACTTATTCCTACAAATAACGAATTAGAAACTAATTTTCATCTCAATTTTTCAATTCCTTTTGTGTTTATAACAGTATTTATTGAGTACTAACTTCTCTTCAGGCACTGTGCTAAGTATTTTACATACATTTATGGGGAAATGGTTACTCCCCACTCCTGACATCTCCTTCCACATGGGGGAACATCCATTAGAGTAATCTTCCTGGCCTGTATACACTTACTACTTCCCAGGAGAGGAGAAGCAACTTTGATGAATTTGGGATGAGGATCAGGGCACGTGATAAAGACGAAATATAGCTGATGTTCTTTTCCTCTTCTCCATTCTCTTTCAGATATTCCAGCCTGCAAAAAGCATGTGTTCTGGTCTGCTCTCAGCAAGGCTAGTAGCGGAGTGGTAAATGTCCTGTCCCTGTAAGGCTGGGAAAAGACAATAAGTCAAGTCAGACCTGGGTATGATATTGATCTACTAGGAGACTGTTTCCTGGGAATACTGTGCAGCTTAGAAAGGTGAAGGTGAAAATTTCTTTGCTTTTGGCAAACACAGAATGCAGAGATTTCATATGTCTCGCTACAGGAGACTCCACAAGGCAAAACTTAGAGGTGAGTGTAAGAAAAATGCATGTCTGGGCCAGAAAACAAAAGGAGAGACAAAAGGAAAAGTGTGTAAGAAAGCAAACGAAAGAAGATGCTTAAATCCAGCAAATAGTACCAGCCTTACCTAGGTAGAGAAAAAAAGGGAGCAATCTAAAAAGCAGGTGGAACTGTTATAAACTCAGATGAGTCTTTCTGAAAAATAGCAGTGGAACAGAGGAAGGAAATATAACACTAGAGGCCTAATCCCTTGCTGCAGAAAAAGATGTAGCTGAAAGAAATGCTGGTCAAGGCTTGTGACATTCAAAGTGAAAAAGACAAGGTCTTGGGTAGTACATAACACAGGTAATAGAAACTCACTAGACCCATAGGAGCACAGGTTCCAAAAGCAGCTTTAATTCAGATCTCTGCTGAGGGTGATTATCCTGTCGAAACAACTATAAGAAGCAGGAGGAAGTCATCATAGGAAGCAGGTGCCATGGCAAGAGGTAAAGGCAACAATGCCTGTGGCTCAGGATTGAAGTGATGTTCATAAGACGTCGTGGAGGTTATGGAACTAGACAGAGCCCCACCCTTTTCAGCATGGGATGCCAGAAACATGGGACTCAGTGGAAAAAGGGAAATTAAGAGGTTTTGAACACGTTAGACAGGAAGGAATGGTACTTCAAGTAAAGACTATTGACTGGGGCTGCCACCATGTGAAGACTTTTCAACTTTTTTAGAAGCCAGAAGTGTCACAAATGTCACTCTCTGAGAAAGGAAACTGTAGGCAGAAGTGGCTCTTCCTCCCAGATTGGAAGTGAGAGATTAACTTCTTGATGAGTGATTTCTCCCAATGAGTTTAAGGTCACAATTCTCGACTCCAGAAAATTGGAAGTGACTGCCATCAAACTATATACAGAAACACAAGCTTTTGTCACCGGTCTTACTGCTATCACCTTGGTCCAAGCCACAATCATCTCCTCCCTAGATTATTGCAATAGTTTCGTAAATGGTCCTCCTACTTCTGTACTTGGCCCCGTAGAGTCTTTTCTCAACACAGCATCCAGGGTGATCTTGATAGTTCAAGTCGATACTCTGCTCTGAACCCTCCATTGGCTTCCCAGCTCCCCAGAGTGAACACTAACAAGGCTTCACATGATCTGTTCCTCTGATCTCATCTCTTATCACTTTCCACCTTGCTCGCTGTATTCCAGCCACATAGGCCTCCTTGCTGTTTGTTAAACACTCCTGCCTTTGCATTTCTTATTCCCTCTACCCTAAAATGATTGCTTCCTAGATATCCTCATGGCTGCTCTTTAACATCCTCTAGGGTTTTATTTAAAATTGCCTTCCCTGACTATCCTAGCTAAAATTCTAATCCCCTCCCAACATGTAATAACCTCTTTTATTTATTTTTCTCTCTTTATCATGTCACTGACGTTATATATTTAATTATTTATCCCATTTAAAGAATGTCTTCCCCAATAGAATGCAATTTTGCACCATGAGGGCAAGAACTTTTGTCTATTTCATTCACTGCTAGAATACCTCCTGGAACATAGTAGGTATTCAATAATTATTTGTGATATGAATGAATGAATCTTGGTGAGATGGTAACCTAAATTATCTCCATCTACTCACCTTAATTCGGATACCTTTGATAGGGTCTTTGGCCTCACCAAGGGATGTGATCTGTGAGCATAATTTTCCTGTGCATTATGCACATAATTATAATTGCATTATGACCTAGGGATTAGCTTGCTTTCTAAATTGTATAGTTTCTGAGATAGAACTCTGATAATCTTTTATGTTCTAGGAATTCTTTGGACTTTTTATAAAGTGGAGATCATGAAGACAAATTCTAATTCTGAGTTCTTGAAGGAACCACATCCATTCCAGGCACTGTGCTGCTGAGGGAACCCAATCCCACATTTGCCCTCTCTTGACTAAGATTGAGAGAATAAGAAATCGAGGAAGATGAATTTTGAACTTTGACTTTTTAAAACTTTAATAAGTCAAGAGAATTTAATTAACAGTTTTAATACTTTTGGACCTAACTTATTTGGACATAACTTGCAAGGACATCTAATTTTTTTTCTTTTACTATAATTTCTCCTTGGAATTTGATCATGGGAAGGGGTCTATATTCAGATGTGAAGCATCTTATTGTTAATGTATTATTATTGGAGTATCTATATGTTGTCGTTTGGTACCATTGTGGAACATCTGATGGGTTAGATACATGTTGCGCCCATGAAAATGCACTGCTTAATCTGCCGCAGGAAGCATAATGGACTGACAGCCTCTGGCTCCACCACCATGTTCCCACTGAGGCCACCCTTCCTGTCAGCTTCTCCTAGCCAATGACTGAGGACGTCTAATGTACTAAAGCAGGCCCATTCCAGTGAGACATAGAACTTCTCCAACAAGCAACTTTGGCTCAAGGGTTCCCCATCAACTAGGTTTAACCTTTCTTGGAGGTACACTGCAGTCTAAGATTCTTCCTACCCAGGTGTAGGAAGAATCCTTTCCTTCTCTTCTTACACAGGTGTCAGACCAGCACCATGGTTTGAAGGCTTTCCTTGCCTTCTCCTGTTCCCTCATCCAATAACTCTCTTACATGTCTGGTCCTTTCATGGCAGTGGACCTGAATAACACAATATGCAATAGGACAACTTGGATAGACAAAGTTTGGGTTGGGAAATAAAATAGGGAATTGATTTTCAGCCTTGGGCACAATGTTGCGTCGAGGTTAATTTATTTAATGTACACATCTGGCCTATTTCAGAGCATTCTAGGGCTAGAAATAACACTACTCACCTGGAATATGCCAAGAGGACCCATAGAAGAATCTGATTAGTGTTGGAGGAACAACCTTAAAAAAGCGAGAACAGGACTATCTTTATAGTCTGCTGATCTCTTCCCCACAAGGGGATAGCCACAGCCTGGTTGAATATAGGCTAAATGGTCAAGCCCAACGGATTAAGAGAACAAAGTCAAGGAAATGTTAAGGGGCAAAACTTTCCCCACACTCCGATATTTGCCCTTGCAGTAAGAGCTTCACTAATGTAATACTCCTGTTGACTCTCTACCAACCACTCTCACTTCTCTCCAGGGAAAAAGGAGTGACTTCTCTTTTTGGTGACTTAGGGAGAAGAATTTAAAAATGCTCATCTCAGCCCCTCCCCTCATCCCAACCTGGGATCCACAGAGAGCATGCATTCTATCTTGTTCCTCCAAGCCAGACGGTTTACAAAGGCAGGCTCCTGCATGGGGAGACCAACAGCTTTAACACTACCTGGTGTATGGCTGGGGTTCCATGTTAGGAAACCTATTGTTGCCATCCATCTAAGCCACATCTTCAATTCTATCCTTTACCAGTTTAGCAGGTAATATTTTGATCACTATCTATCTTCTCCTTTTCTGTCTCATAACTGGTTCTGAACTCCAGTGGGAAGAAAGTACTATTATTCTCTTTTTCACCTAGGAGGAAACTGAGATATAGTGAGCAGAGTAACTTTCCCAAGATCATACAGCTAACAAGTGGCAGAATTAGAATTCAAGCAGAGGTTGAATTCTCAGCCTCTATGCTTTTTAATGTTGTCATTTCTTATTATAGCTCTATTTTCATGATGAAAGCTTTTGATAAACACAAATTAGAGACATTCAACTAATGAATACATTAGTAGTGTTGATAATATTTGGTCTTGTATTCTTGCATTTATTTATCTTGGATTGTTTTGTTTTGTTTTTTTGGTGAGGAAGATTGGCCCTGAGCTAACATCTGTTGCCAATCTTCCTCTTTTTGCTTGAGGAAGATTGTCCCTGAGCTAACATGTGTGCCAGTTTTCCTTTATTTTGTATGTGGGACACCACCACAGCTTGGCTTGATGAGCATGTAGGTGTACGCCTGGGATCCGAACCTGCGAACCTCAGGCCACTGAAGCAGAGCATGCGAGATTAACCACTACGCCACTGGGCCGGCCCCAACTCTTGGATTGTTTTTAAACTTTTAAATTGTCACATTTGAAATCTCTCACGGAATATCTCGACAAAATACTTCAAAAGAGGTTATTTGAAGGAAAACATAACTTCTAATTATCTTATTCTCTCATGTAACTTTTAGCATATGAAAAAGAGTGGTCCAAAACTGTGTTTGCCCCAAATATTTTCATCTTTGCGTTGGGGACTTGGAAAGGCTTGAATCTAGATATTTCCAATAGCCTGAACATAACAGCCGAGGAAGTCGGAATAAAATGATACAGTCCTCATCTTAAAAACCAAGTAAAATTTATCAAATTTATAAATCTACTCCACACTTTCCGGGAAGTCATTGTCAGTCATTGGTTCTGTTTGGTCCAGATTGTTTTATTATCGGTAAAGCATTGCTGGTTTATGAAATGATTTGAATATTTTGTTTGAGCCTAGTTTATAAAAATGAGTGGAAAGCAGAAAAATAAAATGCTAATACTTATGATTATTCAAGTAAGGCAAAGATGGAAATTATTAGGTATGCTAAAAGCAGCAAATATTTGGCCTCAATTAAATTCTTATTGGACTTAGGCTAGTTGACTGTTTAATTACAAATGCAAGAAACAAATTTTAAGTATTTGTTCAAAATGCAGAGATGTAGTGACAGAGAAAATAGATCCATAAAATTATAAATTGGAAATCAGCATCAAGAGATGTCCCAGAAATCCAAATGCAAGGAGAAGCTTCAGTTCCATAGCTCTGTTCACAGGATGCATACAGCTTGTGACTTGATTCCTCTATGAGGGAAAAAAGAAGACTGATGCTTTACTTTCTCTTGAGAAAGTCAGCATACAATCTTGTGTTTGATTCCCTACAAAATCTCCTGAAAATTCACCCTTAGCAGGCCCTTTCTAGCATTAAAATACCTTTCTTCTGACTACTAAATATCCTGTCCAATAAGCCGAGAGAGCTAGAATTTGAAGTAAGACATTACTTTAGGAAATTTATTTTTATGTATATTTGGTGTTTAATCTATGCGTGGAGTATTTGGTATGGTATTAGAACCCTTTCAGTTGCAAAATAAAACAGGAAAAGACAACTCAAAACACTATGGCAGGCATTTTGAGTCTGTGAACTCATAGAGTGCAATGAAAAACAACTTTTCCTTTCATCCTCACTGCCCATTCTGAGGAGCTAGTCCTCTCCTTGAGAGAAATCCAGACCAGGACACTCCCAGATAATAAAAGTCTTCTGATTACATCTAGTCATACAAATAGTCCTATTTTGTTAAACAAAATGTTTAGTAATTTAAATGTAAGAGTCAAAATTCCAAATTTCACTTAAAGTTCCTCCCCTTGACAAAGCGCTTGCAGTGAGACAGGGGGCTCACTTAGCTTCATCTCTATTTCCCTACTGGATACTTCTTCTCCTCCTTCCCCCCTTGCCATCAGGGTGCCTCTGGATCCTCCAGGGTTAAAACAGAGAGAGGAATAAAAACTAAGGAGCAGGAAACGTCTTACCTGACTGGCACAAATGTACACTGGCATTGGTTTCCTCTGGCTGTGGCAAATGTTTAAAGCTGTCTCTTTCTGGCTGATGTTCAAAGCTGACTATTCTTCTCTTGAGTGGTTTCATGGGTACTTTGGAGGCCCCCACATTGAACTGCCTGTGCTGTGGGTGAAACATTTACTTCCAGCTGGTCACTTATGTTTCCTCCCACAGCAGTGGGAATTAGGTGAACCAACCCTCTGTGGGGTCACTTCGCCTTTCTGAGCAGAACACTTGAGTGAAATTTGAAATGGCTCCAGGTTGGCTCTCTTCTGCTGGATCTACACCTAATCCATGAGAAACTCACAATCTTTGTCCCAGCTTTCAGCGTAAATGCAACTAGCATTCAATGCAGGCTGGGTTCTGTCTTTCTCTCTCTCTCTCTTTCTCTGCACTTTAGACCAATAGCTACAGCTTCTTGTCTTGCCTATCCAAGTTTATTTATTTAAACTTCATCATCACCTCATCCATTGCATCACCAACAGTCAGTTTTAGTACCTGTCCAAAAATGGCTACTCCAAGAATATGAGCATGATTTCCCATTCTCCCCTCCAAAAAAGTGTCAAATTGCAAGCATTTTGTAGATTATAAACTTACAAGATAATTTTAATAATTTGTGTCTATATATGTATATATATACCTACACATAATTTTCTATACCTATCATTCTTTCACACCTTTGAAGATCTAAAGGGAGCTGGAAAGCCTGGCACAGAGCTCTCTGCCTAATGAATGTACCAAATCAAGTAAGAGAATATGAAACAAGGTCCACTCTTTTCTCCCAAACAAATGTCCCAGAGAGGTGATGATGAATAGGACAATTTTCCTTGCTACTCCCAAATAGCTTGTGGATAGCCCAGCCTTTTCACTGCCCAAGATGGTTTTGCCCAATTACCCAGTTCTGGGAAACCATCATAGTAACTGAGATTCCCTCTCCAACCAAAGTTAAATGGTTCATGGATTCTCCACCCTGGATCTTCTTCCTCTAGTAGGAGGAATCTCATGATAGATGTGCCCAGGAAGGTGGTCACCTTGAGTCTGAGATAGGACCCACTTACCTATTTGTGCTGTATTGGGTGTGAAGCATAAAGCTATGCATCTATAGTGAGGAACCAGTGCTCTATACTGAGAGTGAGAGGTTTTACTAAATTTTGAGTAGAAGAGAAAGGTAGGGAATGGTGACAGATGGGGATCAGTCTCATGATCTTTTTCTGATGGCAAGCCCTTCACAGGATTTTCTTATGCATGAAGTTACTTGGCACAAACATTGAAAGTCTCCTTTAGCGTAATGGTCATGTACACAGATGTCGGGAGTTAGACAACTTGGATTGTAATCTTCACTCTTCCACTTACTAAATGTATGGCCTTGGACAAATTATCTGAGCAGGTTCATGGGATGAGGGGTAAGATTGCTCACTTTTGCCCCTTAAGACATCTAAAAATCTGTTGCAATCAGATCTGAAGCCCATGGCTGTCTGACTGCCCTGAAAGGAGCATGTAAACAGGGTTATCTGGCCAAAGGGTATCCCATGTCCTATTTTTATTGAGTCTCCATTTCCCTAGAGTTACCAAAAAATCAAGAGATGAGTCTGACAGAGTCTACATCTTCTCCAGACCATATCTAGAGGTTCTCAGGCAAGAATGCAGGCAGCGAGCCTCATGTTTTGAGGTGGAGGGACGGCAGACATTGCAGGTTTCAAGCGAGAACTTCATAAGACCCGGGGACAGCAATGTAGCTGAGCAGCCAAGAGATGCGAACCTAGTTTAGGAACAGGAAGAATCCCTAAATCCTCAGCCGCAGCAGTTTGGGGATCTTTACTCCAGTATTACACCATTGGTCTGACAGCTACTCTCTTCATGTCTTTTCCAACACAAGTCCCACTTTTGCCAATTTAGGCAGAACACTTGAGCTGGCCTTGATCCATCTCTGTTGCAACACCCTGTACAAACTTCATGGGTAACTGAGGCCCGGTCCCTTGTTTTTGAAACTGTCAACTGACAGTCACCTGAAATAGGAAAGCGTGGCTGAAATTCTGAAACTGAATAATGCATGGCATAATGTTATTCACGGGAAATGAGTGAGTTATTTTCTAGAATTTAATCTCTCTAATATGCTTCCCAAGATATCTGGTTCAAAAAAAAAAGTACATAGGAGAAGTAAGGAGAGAATA